AGACGCTTCCCAGACACAGTCCCGTCATACGCGCCGCGCGACTTTTGCATTCGTAGACCATGATCATGCCTACCATGGAAGTGAGGGTGTTGAATATCATGAGGACCAGTCGGGCTGATGGAAGGATTGTGGCCAAGCTCGACGTCAAGAGGAGGAAAACGAGCTGCGCCACGCCAATGGGCATCTGAATGAGAAGGGCATTGAGATTGGAAAAACCGAATCCCTTGACAACAAGTGCACCAAACTAGACACCAATTAGCATTGCTCGCCCGGAGTTTCCGATTCGCGTCCGCACACAAGTCCAGAAGCGTCAAGGTGTATCATAGGATCGCAAAGGACGGCAGGGAGAACAAGTCGAGATGGGACTTACGCTGGTTAATCCCCCGTTGGCAAGGTTGACCGAGACGGTGTAGAGCACCAAGAACCACAACTGCGGATCGGTTAGGGCGTCAATGACCTGGCTCGGGACGAAGTGATTGTTATCGAGGAGCCCCGTCTGGTTCTCGACCGTGCGCTCCAGGGCAATTCGCCGCTGCTTTTCGTCCAGGAACGCAGCTTTGTCGGGCGAGTCCGGGAGAAACAGGTACAGGAGGAAAGCATAGGCCGAAGTGATGCTGCCCATGATGAGGAAGAGCAAACGCCAATTCCCAAGAGACGACGTCTCAATCTGACCGATGCCGTACGCGACCAGGCCACCAAAGATGTTGGCCAACGAGTTTCCAGCAAACCAAGCGCCTTGTCTGTATCCCCGAATCTCGTCAGTGTCTGTGAAGTTTTCGGACCAACAAGCACCTGAATGAAGTCCTCGCAGCCAGATCTGGAGGACCAGGGTGGAGAGGGGACGTGTACCTACCGCAGAGGTTGTTCTTTGCGTGTATAAAACATGCCTGTGATCAAGGCAAAGCCAGGCGCAACGGCTGCTTCACCCACACCAAGGAAGAAACGTGCCGCCATGAGTCCTCCAAAGTTGTGAACTGCCCCGTGGCACATGAGGAAGCCGCCCCATAAAAACCTGCACGTCGACTCGTTAGCGGTGTCGATATACTTGCGCCATACAAGGGCGACGTGGGAAGGCAGATCTTTCAAGAGACACCAGGAAACTCTCGGGACACGTACACTGTGACGGCGATGTATTTCCCCGTCGGAAACCGGACAAGGAGGTAAGAGCTGGGCCAGCTCCACGCGAGGTAGCCAAAATAGAAAATGGCCGAGCACCAGGAGTACTGGGAGCCGTGGAGATCCTGGCAATACAAGCAACAAAATCAGCACATGGATCCTTCTGGAGTGTAAGAAAGAAATATGGTGAATGGGGCTCCCTGTCGTGGAGAGCGCACAGTTCGCTGCCATGTCTCCCAGAGTCTTGTCTTACCAAGTTCTGCAACAGCCCCAAGAGAGTTGCCGAGCTGAGAGCCAATTTGTCCATGTACTGCAAGAGGTAACAGAACCCCATCAGGGGAATCATGCTGATATCCAAATATAGTCAGCCAGGGGGTCGCATTCGTGCGGACGGAGGGCATTGGCTCTCTCCCACGGCATCTTTGCTTGAATTTATCACTCCCACTGACCAGAAATCAATCTTTCTCAAGACCTCCCTCGACTCTGCCGGCGACGGCACGGCCAAGCTGTCTCCCTCTTGCACCTCCAGGATGTCTTTGGGCTGCATTATGATGCAGTCTAGCTTGACGTCTGCAGAGGTGGTCTTGTGGTCCTCTTTCATGATCGTGTCGGTAATTGTCCGGTGTTCTTTCTTTGCTCGTGAAGAACAGACAGAGAGGATCTGTGGGCGTTTTCGTCTCTGAGAGAAATAATAATTGCTTGAAGAAAGAAAAAAACTGCAGATACAGATGATGAATGCTTTTTTGCTAATTCTTTGGTGAGCGTGAGTTCCGAGCTGTCAGAGACCACAAAAACCCATCCCAGTAATATCCGTGCAGTTGTATACGTTCTTTACTTATACTTTGCCAGCTCCCATTACCGACACGCTGGATATGATTTTTTCCCCCCAAAGGAATTTTGAGCCATCTTTGTTGTTGTTGTTCCTTATCTTCTTCTCCAGTCTAGAGTCGGACAAATTGAGGTGCATATTTTGGCGACTTGACTCGACTCGACTCGAGATCGCGATATGTCTATATCGTTCGATTGGGCGGCAGAGCACCCTTTAGAAAGGGGACCTCGAATCGAAATCCTCTTAGACATATATGTCGGCAAAAGCTCTGCAGGTCGGCAGAAGCAGCCGCACGTTGATTGGCCACGTCGGCAAACGATGGGAGCCGCTCCATACTCCACAGCCTCTTATCATTTCCTCATGGAATCAGTCAACCCTGTTATCGGCCACGCGAGGCCCAAGTGTGTGAGCCAGCCAGCCAGCCAGCCAGCCAGCCAGCCCGCCCGGCGTCGCCGGAATCGATACGCGTCCCTGGGCTGGGAGCATTTGATCATCCCATCCAGCCGCGAGGATTGGCTCAGAAGGATCCGATTCGCTTACGGCGACCATCACCGTCACACTTACATAGACAGATAGGGAAGATGCAGGCATGTCACACAGCGAGCGGGGATCAGAAAGACGACCTGGTTTTCAGAGACAGTCAAATAATTCGAAGCCACACATACACGGTTCCGGAAAACAGCGGTGCAAAGAGGATCTCCAGTAATGGCGATCACGGACAACAGCCCACATGGGTATCTAATGTTGCAACAACCGCTGATCGGCAGTCGTAGCCACTGAATGGCATGTGTGATTCGCTTCCAGGAGAAGCTGGCCGAGCAAGCCTTTCCCGTCCCAGACGGACCCGGGGAGTCCAAAGCTGGGGAGCAAGATCTGCGCCTTCAAGAGTTGGTCCTTGAGCCAGTCGCGATGGACCAAGTCTCTGGTCCGTATCATGGCGATCGCGAGCGGCCAGACCAGGCGGTACAGCTGCCGAGGGTCTTCTTTTACGGCCTTGTATCCAATGCTGGTGACGGTGGCGACCACGCGCTGCAGCCACGGCGGATACTCGTCGTCAGGATCGAGGCACGAGTACAAGACTTGCAGGGCGTAGAACTCGAGACTGGCGTGGTAGACGGTCCATATGAGTCTCTTGGTGCCCGTGTCGACGACCCTGTCGGCCAGGGCGAGGACATCAGCGAACTCCTATTTGCCCAGACCGTCAGCTCAGATTTTGAGAAGGACAAACACCGCCCCGAAATCAGCCGCGAGAGAGGGACGTACATCTCCCAGCTTGGTCAGCTCCTTCCACAGCCGTTGCCTGCCGGCCTTGTCGCCGCGGCCCATGTCCGGAGAAGCGGCCAGGTTGAGGATGCTCAGCTTCGGCTTCTGGCACAGGTGCAGAAGGTGGAGAGGTCGGTAGTTCTCCAGGTCGTCGAGCAGCTCGGAGACCGGATACTGGGGTCCCCAGAGCTTGGGGAGACACGATCTGGCGCTGTAGAACAGGCCGTCGTACGAAACCGGCGAGTCCGCATCTTCCGACAGCAAATCCATCCACAGCTTCCCATAAGGGATGCTACTAAATGCGAGATAAACGTCCATGTACCTTTGGGGTGGGTTAGTCAGGGTCAGGAGTGAGGAGGAGGAGGAGGAGGGGGGGGGGGGGTGGAAACTTCTCAAGAGAGACAAGAGCTACCGGACTCACGAGATAAAGTACAACAACTGTTGAGATGCGAGGGGCAGTGTCGCCGTGCCATGCTCCCCGCGCGATTTCAGATATGGTTTGAGAAAAGATCGAATCCCTTCCAGGTGTACATGAGACGCTCCGATGCTCTGCGAGTCGTAGAGTCCAAAATGGAGGATGAGGAACCACATGGCAAACAGGGCGTCGACGTCGTCGTCGCTGCCTTGGGAGGAGGATACATGATCTACCAGCGCGGACAGATCCTTCAGGGCGAGGTGATAGTGGCTGGTCGCCGAATGCTCCAGCCGGCGGGCTCGCTCATACTGGTCCGAGGACAATGTCCCATCGAACTGGTCGAGGAGCGCCCTCGACCGGAGCTCCATGGACGCGCCGGCAATAAAGATCCTCATCACACCTGCGTACTTGCTCGCAATGTTCAAGTAGACGTAAGACAGGTTGCTCCATTGAAAAGGCTTGCCGATCCGGAGGACCATGACAGAGTTCTGGACGTACACGAACGACTGTTGATCCTGCGGAGTGAGCTGCAAGGCGTTTGAAAGGGGGATGTGCGCCGTCGACAGGGCCGAAGGGACAAGGCTCAGGGGTGATTGTACATCCAAGGCTTTTCTAGGCGATGATGATGATGATGAGGTGACACTCGACCGGGTCTCATCGCGAATTACGCTCTCTGTCGAATGTGGACTCGCGTGAGATGCGTCAGCGGGCGCGAGGAGCCTGTTGGATGGAGCATTGACCGTCAGGACTCTCGTGCGGGCTCGTCTCACAGGTTGGTCCCAGTCGCACTTCAGACGCGACTTGGAGCATCTTGCACAGATGGGCCTTATCTCGTCGCATTTTAGTTTTCGAGTCCGGCAAGTCGCGCAGCCTGGAACGCGGGATCGTGTCTCAGCGTCAAGATGCTTGCACCACGCCGAGGTATTAACGTACCGGTTTTGGAGCGAGTACCACGTTTGGCCGATGCAGTGCTGTCCATGGTTGTTTGGTCGTTAGAGTGATAAATCTGAGAAACGAAAGAGCCGGTCGAAGGAGGCAAGCTGAGTGGCTGACTCGGCTCTCGCTTAGACGGAGAAAGGCCATTCTCCTTGATGAATGGCTGAATTTGCCGACTTCCGGGGGGTGTGATACTAGCTTATCGCTGGTGGCGAGAATCCACGACGTTGTCCGGCCGAATGCTTCATGGACCACAGCCCGGGGGCTCTCCATTGCTTTCCAGCCGTAAGGCTGAGCTTATATTTATATAAATCAAGGTACTGATACCACTGAGAGATGAAGGAACAACTGTCTATTCTATCACGAAAGCGACCAGCATCCAAGTCGAAAAGGGCAGCCATATCGAGACCAACATATCTGTAAGGAGTGGAATTTCCAGACATGACGAGTCCGCAGAGCGCAGAGCTCTGGTCGACAGAGGACCTGTACAAGAACATCTCGGCATATATCAGCCAAAACGAAGAGCACCTGGCTGACATCTGCAAGAAGGTCCGTCTCCTTCCCTTGCCCATCTACCAAAGAAGCCTGGCTACTGACGATCTCATGTCCAGATTCATGATGATCCAGAGTTGAACTATCGCGAGTTCCACGCCCATGACAACATCTGCGACCTGATGGAAAAGCTCGGGTACCACGTCAAGCGACACACTTACGGGCTCGAAACGTCTTTCGAGGTCGAAGCTGGCCATGGAGGACAGCTCGTCGTCTTCAATGCCGAGTACGACGCTCTCCCGGGCATTGGACATGCCTGTGGGCACAACCTGATCGCCACCAGCTCCATCGCGGCATTCATTGCAACGGCCGAGGCACTCCGGGATAGTGGGCGAGAAGGACGAGTTCGCCTGCTAGGGACACCAGCTGAAGAGGGCGGTGGTGGGAAAGTGCGCCTCATCCGTGCAGGTGCATATGAGGGGGTTGATGCTTGCTTGATGGTCCACCCTTCAGGCCGTCTGCCTGCGAAAATGGACGGGGTGGCTGCAGGCAAGTGTCTTGCGCGTCGACAAGTCAAGGTCACGTTTAAAGGCCAGAATGCTCATGCCGGAGTCATTCCTTGGAATGGGAAGAATGCACTCGATGCGGTTGTTGCGTCGTACGTCAACATCTCGTTGCTGCGGCAGCAACTTGCTCCCACAATTCGGGTGCATGGAGTCATTCGCGAAGGAGGAGCGTAACCCAACATCATTCCCGACTCGGCCAGCCTCGAGTATTTCCTGCGCGGCTCAAGTTTCGCCGAACTTTTGGAGCTTTCGGACAAAGCAAAGGCCTGCTTCGAGGCTGGGGCTCTGGCCACTGGATGTCATGTTGATTGTGCCTGGCAACTGTAAGTGTCTTCTTCTTGACAAGCACGACATGATATTGACTCGAGTGGGTAGGGACAATGACTACAAAGATCTGATCACAAGCCTCGGCATCGCGCGAGAATTCACGAAACACATGGGTGGTTTTGGTCGTGACTACCTGGAGAATGCGGGCGACCAGATCATGGGTGGCTCGACGGATATGGGCAACGTCACATACGAGGTGCCTGGCTTCCACGGTGTCTTTACCATTGGTATCGACGACCCAGAGGTCCAACCACATACCCCGGCATTTGCAGCTGCAGCGGGGACCAGAGTGGCCCTTGAACGTGCTCTGGATTGTGGCAAGGGCATGGCAGCGACAGCCTATGGTTTGCTTACTCGGTCGGAACTGATGGAGGAGGTGAAGAAGGACTTTAGGGAACAAATGAAGCCGGGAGTGAAGCTGTGATCGACCACTCGATCTAAAGCCACCTGTCTCGGCTTTACGGGATTCTCAGATAACGAGCAGATAAAAGCACATTTTGTTCAAACGCAGGTGCAATGCACTTGGTTATTTATGGCAGTAGCATATATCAATGAGGTAGGCGTAGGGTTGGTCGCAAAAAGATAAAGCTTTTCATCTCTCATGCAAAGATGAGAGAATAAAAGACAGTGGATGCTGTAGCGATGTCAAGAGTGTCTGTTTGCCAAGCTTTTGACTTTTCCCAAAGAGGATGAATCACCTAAACCGGATCTGGTACTTTGGCTTTCTTCATCTCCTCCGTTACCCATCACGAGGTACTCACGGCTCTATGCAGATTTAGCAGAACAGGTGGTGAGTACTTGGTACTCACCTGTTTGATTGGTTTGGGCAAAGTGTCATGGCTCCCAATTGCGAGGCTTCGGCAATTGGGGAATGAACCTAGTGACCACGACACTCTCACCCCATCCACATCATCACAGACCAACACAAGCATGAGAATGCATACAATTCCCGCGGCACTTACGTGTCACAACATCTACCCTTGATCGTCCAACTTACAGAGCTAGACAGGAAAAAACGACCAGGATCTTCGGGCATATGCCGCGATGCACGCATCATGCAGAGTAACGAAATGGTGCGGAGCACAACCATGTCTCCTTGGAGAAACGGTCTCTCTTTTTGGGCAAGACCCAACGCAGACCGAATCAAGGCAGGGCAAAGGGGGTCGACTGCTACTCCGAATATAGAATCAGGAAACTTTCAGTGGTCTCCGCAGTATGTCGGTCAGAGCCATCTCATGATCTTGGAAACGTCATGACAAAAACTCGTTCTAATGCATACGAGATAGAGACTTGTTGAAACCCTTTCTGCAAGTACCGACAACGGCTGTTCGAGCCTGAAGATTTGCCCGGGGTTGACCACTCCTAATATACAACACCAAGGCGGTCTCACAGCTTCATTCAATTGCCGAAACAAGCCATGCCTCCAACCTATCCCGAGATCTTGAAAGTGCGGTACTCCTCTGACGACGCTTCCCTCCAGTTCCCGGTCCACAACCCGGCGACGGGCGAGGTAATCACCAATCTCCAAGCGGGGACACCCGTTGAGGTCGACGCCGCCGTTCAGGCCGCCCAGAAAGCGTATGACAACGATTGGCGCTGGCGATCTCCCGCAGAACGGAGCGCCTTGCTCTTCAGATGTGCCGATGCTTTAGAGCCTCACAAGGACGAGCTGGCCGAGTTGTTGTGCTTGGAGAACGGAAAACCCAAGCAGGATGCTCTGTCCTTTGACGTCAATTTTCTCGTCAACATCTTTCGCTTCTTTGCCGGCATCTGTGACAAGTTACCAGGCGAATTCTACCAGAGAGGCAGTGTCAATGCGACCGTCATTTACGAGCCGTTCGGAGTGTGCGCGGGCATCCTGCCGTTCAACTGGCCACCAATCCATTTTGGCGGTAAGACGGCCCCGGCCCTCGCTGCGGGTAACGTCATGATTATCAAGCCCGGAGAGCAGGCCCCCTTGACGGTGCTCAGGATGTGCGAGATCATTTCCCAAGTCCTGCCGCCTGACGTGGTCCAGGTTGTGCCTGGTCTGGGGCCAGGGGTACCTGCGGCGCTGATCAAGCACGATCTTGTCAAGATGGTGTCTTTCACCGGCTCCACCGTGGCTGGCGCAAAGGTGGCCGAGACAGCCGCCGGAACCGTGACCCCCGTGGTCCTCGAGCTGGGAGGCAAGAATGCATTCGTCGTCTTTGACGACGTCGAGGACCTCGATCGCGCAGTCGGAGACGCGCTCGAGGGGGCATTCTTCAATAAGGGCGAGGCCTGCACCGCATCGTCGAGGATCCTCGTCCAGAAAGGGGTCTACAACCAATTCTGCGACAAGATGGCTGCCGGGGTGAAGAAGCTGAAGTCCGGAAATGGTCTAAACCCGACCACCCACTTGGGGCCACAGGTCAGCAAGGCTCAACAACAGAGGGTGCTTGGATACCTGCACAGGGCCAAAGACCTCGAGAAAGAAGGAAAAGTCAAGATCGCGGCACAGGGTCAGCTACCCGAGGATCCCGCCTGCAAGAATGGCTTCTTCGTGCCGCCCACCCTCATCACCGACGTGACGCGAGACATGGTGATTGCACAGGAGGAGATGTTCGGCGTGCTCGTGACGGTCACACCGTTCGAGACCGAAGACGAAGCCGTCGACATTGTCAACGAGTCCAGGTACGGCCTGACGAGCATCATTTTCAGCTGCAACAGCGAGAGGTGCTGGCGCTTCTCCAAAAAGGTCGATGTCGGCCTGGTCTACGTCAACAACTACTTCCGCAACATCCTCGGGGTGCCGTTCGGGGGCGCCAAGGAGACGGGCTACGGGCGCGAACACAGCATCGGCACGCTCAAGGAGTGGTGTCGCGCCAAGGTCATCAACCAGCCGAGCGGGTTCGGAGAGGTGCCTAGATGGAGGGTGGTCAAGGAGTTGTACGGGGCGTGAAGCGGGACTTTCAAGTCACACGATAGTCTTCCACCTGCTCCCCGGTTTTATATTTTCGCACACGAGAAACGCAAAATGGTAAGGAAGCGATATGGTGGAATAGCAGCCGGACCAAAGCACGCGCGCCCTTTGACATACGACTCGACGACTAAATAACCGTAGGTATGTAGATATGCACAGAAGGAGTGCTGGACAGCGTGACAGCCAATCGGCTTCTTGAATAAGGTTATATTCATAGTAAGCTAGCGCCTTGGCAGTCAGCTTGGCACATATAAGTAGGCGCCGTGGTGCCTCGGTGCGACTTGAAGCAAAAGTTTCTCCCCCTTTTCTCCCTCCACTTTGAGGCTAGTTTTTCCTATCCTCACGCTGCACTGTCGACCGACAAAGCTCTCTTAGTACTCAAACTTCTGACCGACCAACTTCTCGCTCAATTCCCACAGTCGGTCCGCCAGTTTCGGATCGTGTGTCCAGGCAGGAGACTCTGCAATGTGCCCATCGCTCAGGAAGATGCCTGACCCGTCCCTGAGGTTGGCTGGGCCGAGGCTGTCGTCCAGCCCCGCGACCAGGGACGTGGCGCAGCCCTGGTCGACGCTCTTGAACTCGGACTTGAATTTCTCGACGATGGCCGCGAGCGTCTCGGGATTGTAGTGGCGGCTGAGTTCGGTCATGATGGCGCCCGGGTGCAGGGCGAAGCTCAGAATGCCGTATTTCTCGTACAGTCGCGCGGTGAGGCCGAGGGCGAACAGCACGTTGGCCGACTTGGACTGGCCGTACGCCACGGTGAAGTTGTAGGTCTCGCTGGGATCGACGGGTCGGCCGGTCGCGGTCAACGCCGCGTTGTCGGGCTGCTCGGCCTCGGGCAGGCTGCTCATCTTCTGGTCGAAGTTGATGTCGGAGAACCGGACCGGGCTGTAGGCGATACCCCGGGAAGAGACGTTGACAATGCGCGTGCTCCCTTTGGGGTTGGACTTTGCGGCGGCCAGGATCTTGGGCATGAGCAGGTTTGTGAAGAGGAAGTGGCCGATGTGGTTGGTCGCGAATTGCAACTCGATCCCCTCGGGGCTGAGCTGCCGCTCCGGGATGCTCATGATAGCGGCATTATTGAAGACGATGTCGATCTTATCAACCTGTGCGTTGGAGAGGATGGAAGAGGCGGCACGGCGGCACGACTCCTGCGACGAGAGGTCCAGCGGGACCGCAATGTACGTCGTGCCCGGCGACTTGGAGCGTGCCTCGTCGATGATCTCCTGGATCTTGGACGGCGTGCGGCTGGCCAGGATGAGCGTCTTGGGCGCGTGTGCGCTGAGGATTTCGACCATCTTGCCCCCGAGCCCGCCCTTGTTGACGCCCGTGATCAGGATCGTCTTGCCCTTGATGGCTGGTGCAAAGATCTCCGCCACCGAAGTCCCGGTGGTCGAAAAGTCAAAGGAGTGTGCCATTTTGCCGTTGATCTTGCTGGAACTGAATCGTCTTGTTTGGATACCTTGGAAAATACAGCCAAGTCTGATTGGTTTTGTGTAGATGCTGCAAGCAAAATCCCAGGATCTGATCTCAAGTCGAGGTGAGAGTATATGAAACTGGCGCATAAACATTTCAATTCGTCCTCCCCTCCCCAAAAGTCCAGAGATCCCGCGCCCTTTTATATACCAGGTCCCTACTTACTTACATACATGTATGTCCTCCTATTTACATATGATGTGCACAAGGGTATGAGCATAAGGCTGCGACGACCTCATGTTTCGTCCCTTCCTTCCAATCGCCAACTCGTCATTCCAGCCGGAGTTTAGCAGCCAGATTTAGCTCCGGTCACGAGGAGACATAAATCCGAGGTTCCATGGCTGTGTACCGAGTAACTCCCAGTCCATGTCACACGGTTGCAGGTCGCAGGTCGCGGGTCGCAGGTTGCATCAATTAGAGGGGGGCGGTTGGTCCCGGTCTGACAAGAAAAAAAGAGATTGGGAGCTGAAGTCGTGGTGTGATGGGTCCTTTGAATGTACTAGGTAACGGATATATGTATCCGCGCGGCGGAGTGTCAGGTTTCAACACGTGTGTGTCTCTTTTATATATTACTTGTGCCCATTACCATCTCCGTTCAAAAAGGGGGAGCGATGAGGCTGGTTTGTGGATTGAGAGTATCGAGGAAGCCTGGCCGAGTGCATATGGGGAAACTGCTGGAGCACTCAGTGCCCTGATGTGCTTTCTGCGCGTGGGAGAGAATGCGCTCAACCTCGAGACTCTTTGTTGTATTGAGTCTCAACCTAACCTAGCCAAACGTGTAGATCGGATCGCGTGAGATGGTCCCACTCGTTCTTGCGGGCTTCAATTCCGCCATTAGCTCCATTTTATGCACAGAAAAAGGTGATCTGGACCAGTCAGACGTAGTGTTGTATTCACCAAAACGTTTTACATTTAATTCACTTTCCTAAAACAGAAGCACGGAGAAGGCTCGGGATTCACGGCTCTGCCTTGTACCTCCGCACCCCCTTTCGCATTATGTATTCTGGCACAAGTGAATAAGTACTCCAAGCATCCCGCGTCTCATTTCTTCTTCCCCTCCTCCTCATCCAGCCCCAAAATATCGGGTACCGGCCCCTCAGGGACAACGCCGCTCGGGTTCAACATGATGAGACTCATAAAGTAGTGGCCCTTGATATGCTCGAAGCTGGTGGTGCTTTTAAAGGCCTCGACTTCCCAGTACAGGTGCCTCACCCAGCAGTGGAGGTGCGGGTAGTGGGTGCGGATCATGGCACGGTTCGTCTTGAACAGGGACACATAGACCGGGTCGAAGCGGATGATGGTCACGTAGAGGCGGATGTCGGCTTCTGTGAGGGACGCGCCGAAGTAGTAGGGTCCGTCGCGGGAGGCGGAGGAGAGGTCCTGCTCAGCTCGGTCCAGTGCGGCGAAGAGAGCGGTCACGGCGTCGTGATATGCGGTTTGGGTCTGTGTGAGGCCGCATTTGCTGGGGGGGTTGTATCAGCTTTTGGTCCTGGGCCTTGCGTTCAAGAAAAAGAGGAAGAGACGCTCGGACTGGGGGAACAAAAGGAGCTGCACTCACTAGACACCGTTGTTGATGTTGTCATAAGTCCATCCATTGACTTCATCGATCTTCGCCCTCAACTCTCGCGGATAGAGGTCGACCTTTCTCCTCTCCTCGGGCAAAAGTTGGTCGAACTCGGTGTACAACATGCGGATAATCTCGCTGCTTTCATTGCTCACGATCGTCTCCGTCTTCTTGTCCCACAGTACAGGAACCGTGAACCGGCCTCCGTAGTTCGGTTCAGCCTTGTAATAGAGCTCCTTCACGCGCTTAAACTCCGGGTGCAAAGGGTCTGGAGTCACGTCCTCCATCGGCAGCGACTCGTCGGGCTCAACGAAGCGCCAGCTGTTGACAGAGGACATGTGGTAGTGGACCGATGTGACGGAAATAATCGACTCCAGGCCCTTGAGTCGTCGAACAATCAAGGTCCTGTGAGCCCATGGACAAGCATATGAGACGTAGAGATGGTATCTGTCCTTTTCAGGAGGGAACCTCGCGCCCGGTTCACTTGAAATCCAGTTGCGGAACTGAGCAGCCGGTCTTTGCAATTCGCCCTTGCTGTTGAACAGCGTGGCCGGCAGGGCTTTCTCATCTGTACTCTGTTGTTGAGTGGGTGGATCACTGTCAGCACCATCTGTGTGGCAGAACCCTTTTTCGGCATCTCGCATATGAAGCTCGGACGTACCTGGATAGACATGGTTTGGGATTCCACTCTGCTTGGAAGAGTTGGCAAGTTGTTATACTGCTATTGCGAATCTCGACCCAAGGTCATGGAAGTTTGTATTGAGAACTACCCACCAAGAATGCATTCGTTCAAAGGAAAACAATGCGGCTTGTCTTCTCACTTATACCTACTCGTGTCAAAGATCCAGGATATATAATCAGAGACTCCATCGTGTGGCCTTGTCTGGGTCGAGCAATAAAGCGGCAATATCGCCCGCACTTCCGCAGTGATGAGAGATGGGCGAGAATCCAGTGAAAGTCTATGGCGGTCTTGCTGGGATAAGGCCAAGCAACAAAAGGCATCATTTCCGCTTTGCTCAGCCATTGTCAAGCCTTGATAGCATTGGTGGTGCCCCCCACAAATGCTTCTCGCCCGATAAGCTCGGACGAGAGATGCGCATGGTCACGTGAGGACCTTGTTGAGCAGTGGAAGCTCTACAGTAAGCTTAGCAATGTCATGGAATTGTGTTGGGAGTCCTTCACGCGTATCGCGTTGGCTCTCCAAATCACTCTATGACCTCTAGCATGAGAGATGGGAGGCTGGCCATTCAACACAGAGTCACCACAAGCAGTTCGAAGATGCTTCTAGCCCACCGGCCTCAACATTTCAGCTTGATTCCTTTTCGCTTTTCCTCTTCACGATGTTCGAACATCACTTGAACTCCGACAAACAATGCAGAGCAGGCGCCGAGCATGAAGACGGCACCTTGCCAGGAGCCAGCAATTCCATTCACAAGCCCCATCAATCCATCCAATCCTACAGCGAAACCGACTAGGTTGGCTGCCATCATCATCAAAATGTTAAGGACCGCTCCAATCCCACAAATGACGCGGTATGTATTAGGACGATTCTTCCATTTTGATGCTGGGAACGCCATAGTTGCGAGAACTTCTGGTAACACGAAAAGCACAACCAACCAGCCCCACAATAGGAGGCGGAGTTGGATATCGTGCCACAAGGCCACGAAGGTGAAGACTGCTAGCATGTTGAGGATGCCGCGCACGGTGCCTGAGCCGCCACCAGGACCTCCTCCAAGGGGTACGTAGACGTAGCGGACTGTCCATCTGTTGAAGCTTCGGTGCCACGAGCGCCAAAAGCCAAAAGCCGAATAATTGTCGCTCATACATCGAACCATGTTTTCTGGTGGGTCAATACCATCCATTAAAGACCAAAATCTGAAAAACCGCCAGGGGATCATTAACTTTAGCCAGATGTGGTGCAGATTAAAGTAGGCGAGCATGCTGAGTTGAAACGGCGTATATACAGACCAGTCCGGCGAGGCCTTGGAGATGGCAACCATGTAGGCAGTGTGTATGAGAAACTCCATGCAAAACATTGTGATCAGAAGTCTAATTCCGTAGAGCGCGTTCCTCTTGGTCGTCACGGATGGTGGCCGATAGGTGGATTGGGAAATATAATCATTGAAAGTCAAGATCGGACCAGCCAGATAAAGAGGCGGATATAATACATAGGCGAGGTATGTACGAAAGGAGGTATAAGCTGATACTGGAGCTGGCATCTTGACTCGATCTCTTTCGGAGAGTGTAGACGCATCGAGTTGCTTCTTCTTGACATTGTCAGCGTATCGTCAAGAATAAGAGCATCGATCAGTCATTCACAACATACCTCAATAGGGCTCCCTGCTCTCGAACGATCCAACGACCAGTAATAGTCAAAATTGAAAGAGATCATGCGTAGCACAGTAATGTTGAAAAGAACCTCCCAACGCGGGTTTAAACCTCCGTAAGAATCCAAGAATTTGCTCCAATCGGCCGCAACGGGAATGAAAGGCACCAGGGCCTCGGCCATGACCGAGTATCGGTAGCCTTGAGCAAGTTCATTGGCGAAGAGAATGGCAATGTTGAAAACCCACGTCGCTACCGGAATCGCGTCTCGGGGAAGGGCAGTGGCAATTTTGAAGTTGATGAACAGGATGAGCAGGATTTTGAAGATAGAGGAGCCGTTCAATGCAAGAATGTAGATCAACGCCGAACCAAAGTCGAACGCAAGCCGGTGTCGAAGCCGGGATTCGGCTGTGGACTGGGCAACAGGAGACTGCGCATTCGTACTGCAGTTGGTAGACACTGGACTGGGAGAAACGAGACGTTCATAGGCCCGGCGAAGAAGAGGGTGCAAAATAACTAGAGCTGCCAAGTATGGGAGGTTGTCTCGAAATCCAGCATACTGGCCATCGGAGTTGTCCTGTGATCTATATAAGCCTCGTAGTTCACATACACTGGTCTGTGTATTCCTAGACATACCACTTTCCGACCGAATAGCCAACCCGGAGAAAGAAGATGCTCATATTTGGAGTAGTTTGGGGAATCAGCTATTGTTCAAGCCTGTCAAATTTCTTGTCTTGCTCTGCGGTATGGAGATTGAGTTTCTTACGCTGCGATACACTGACTACAGCCCAATACATCTGTGGGACGCAAAACAAGAAGACGGCCAGATACACATAGAACTCGGTAGTCCTCCATCGTGGCTGTGATGCTTCTGTAGGTTGTGTCTTTCCATCTCTTACTGTCTGCTTGGAGGCCGCCTCATTGACAGACTTTAATGGCGTTGAGGAATTCGTAAATCGCGTGTCTAGGGTATCGAGGGAGTACAGGTCGCGGAGGGATGACAGAAGGGTCATGTTCTCGTATGCATGCTGCGTTCCTTTGTAGGACGCTTGAGCACTTCAGAGAGGCCAAAGAATCGTGGGATTCCTTGAAAGGAGTCCTGGACTTGCAATCGCTGGGTGTGCGTCGTGTGTTCTGGACAGAGAAGTCAATTCTAGGCCAATGAAACCCCGAGCATTTGCCTGTCGCCTGCGCAAGAGGGATAAGGGGCAGTAGTCTCTTGGCATCCGTAGGCGCTCAATTGCCCCCCGCCTAACTACCTAGGCACGTTGTGGAAACTCAACAGTCAAAGACATGCTCTTCTGTATCCCCTCACGTCGTTACCTGGATAGGTGACTATTCACACCGGTGACATTTACACCTGAACTGCATTAATGCTCATTTCTCTGAGATCCTGGTCATGAATCTCGCACATCCATTACTTGAGCCGCCAGAACTACTCATCTCAACAACGGCATGCCTTTAATCGAAGAACTACCAGTCACCACAACAGCCCGCGCCTCACATGGCTGGAGTTACGTTCCTGACAATGTTGCCCCTGTTCCTGCCCTCCAGCTGGGTTCCCGCAAACGTGGTCGCGAAGGAACGGTAGCACATGCCGCTGCACATAAACTTTCGGCGAAGCAAGAAAAGGCTATCCAACAGCGACTGAATGACTTGAATAAGGAAAACTATCGCGATGCCCACATCCCAATACCGAAACGAGAGGGTGCAAAGGGAAAAGAGAGGAAGACCACACAAAATGTAAGGCGGATTCTCGCCTACAATAGGACGTTCCAGCATTATCTTGCAGACGAAGAAGCAGGGGTGAATGTTTATGGAAGTGCTGCCAACGTACCTGCTGCCACGGTTGCTAGAGGTCAAGCAAGACAGGAACCGACGCAGAAGACAGCAGCAGACTCTAGGAAGCGGAGTGCTGCTGCGAACGATACTCCATCAACCAGTGCTCAGAAAGGATCTTCGCGCCGTCGGAACTCGTCTAAAAATGCCAAAACCACGCCTGTGAAGAATGCAGAGGGGGAGAGAGGCAGCACTATTGATGTCGAGATGCCCGACGCGCCTCCACCTACGAAACCCTCAGAGCAGACCTCCCCAACAACAACTGTCAAATCCACCCCTTCCACTGGAGAGAGACCGCAACCGTCCTCACCACCTTCAGCTAGTCAAGGACACCTTCCATCCTATGACCCAGCTCTCGACCGCGATCCGCTCCTCCGTACGCTTAACCTTCCCAAGATGCCATCAGAACGCGTCATGCAAGCTCTCCTATCCGAGCCTTCGCTGACTTACGTTGCCGCGCGGGCCAAACCACTGGATCAAAACATGGCGGGTGATGGAGGTTTCGCCATGCGCACGGGTAACAACTCACTTATGGCCAAGCCCCAGCGCTGGTTCTGTTCTGTATGTGGTTACTGGGGCAAAGTGAGGTGTAAGTATGGATGTGGAGAGCGGGTGTGTGGGTTGTTGGATTGTTGGCGAGGACACGAAGCGGTTTGTACGCTGGCGGCAACAGGCTACTGAATTGAGGGTCTCACTCTCACTCTCGTTTACTGCGGTAGGTGTCACCGACCTGCACCTCTGGAATCACTCTTGTGGCTCACTGAGCGAGATCATTTGCTGGGAAGCATACACCTCAATTTTCCTCTTGCTTTCTAAAGATGATAGCATGTGCGGCGTCTGCACACTCGTCACTACTTAGCTGAGACAAGGCTATCCGGTCTCACGTGCGCATGCGATGATGAAGCCATCCCAGCGGCATACTCATCGCCGGAAGTAAATCTGTGTCATATGTCTCCAAATACCGGGTTGTCGATGCTCCAGCCGCTGTTGACACTATTGGAGACGAGCCGTCACTGCATAACAAGATCGATGACGATCTTCCTCCCTTCCGTGCCGTGGTGTGCGAATGTCCGTCGCTCGATCCAGTCCCAATTCGACTTCCAGGAGCGATGAGCAGCTCCGCCAACAAAGCTCGAACGAGTGTCAAAGCGTACGACCGCCCGTGATGCTGGTACACGAGGAATTGTTTGGCAAATCGTATGGCGTGAACATGCCATGTGCGAAAAATACCGATCTCAAGTCTGCAAGGTGGAAGGGTGAAACCAGCAACACCTCTACTACAAATTCCAGCATACTAGTCATAGCAACCATGCCAGCCATGTACCTAACGCAACCTGCATAGCTATCTAGGTACTAGCCACTGCTGCCAGGTATGAGAACATACCTACATACCTACATACCTCCTAGTACTTACGAGTACGTAGGTATATATATGGTAGCATTCTATTATTTCCAGCATTCATCAATCTCGTGCTTTCCCCGGTTAAAGCCAGGCATCTACTCTCTCCCTTGCTAACCTCACGTTGCCCAGGGGGGGATCATAGGTATCATCGCATATCGTACAAGTCAGTCTTGTTCGTCGTTCATCTGTCATTGTAGATCACAATCTTAGGTAATAAATTGACCAGGCAACCTCGACAGGAAGCATTGTCTCCCAGCAAGAACAGTGAGCCGACGCTCCATCCTAACCTCGGAACAAATCGAGTCACCATTGTAATGAGCATACTGCCCATAGTATCTGCATGTAGAGTGAGCCACATTCTTGCAGTCCTCTGATACAGGGAGAGTATCAACTTCCTCCCTACCGGAAATGCCTACAGTAGATCCAATGGCAGTCATGACTTTTCCTCTAAAATTGCTACCGTCCATACCTCGGGCAACGGGTCACCGCTGGCAAGGCTTTGTGGTCTGGTCCAATACATAGATCTGTACCTCGTAGGCGGTTAATGATGTGCCCACTGGGCGGGTCAGGGGGTGGAGCAACTCGTATATGGACTTGGCGGATTCATATCAACCCAATCCGCCATGTCTTGATACATGCAAAAGAACACTCTACGGCCTCTGCAGTCTCAGAAGACCAACATATGAATATCTCAGCGGCCCGGCCTGTGTAGCATGATCGACTGACGCGCGCACAGCATGGCCTACTATGACGTCGACGCCATCTTGACAGACTCGCAAAAACTGCCCTGCACCTTCGAACTGGACGTGCCTGGCCTTGGATACTTGGATGGCAATGCCGGTGGGACGGTCAGTCGGGGCCAGAGAATTCCTGTGTCATGAGTAGATGCGCAGGAAGATAACAAAAAGACCCCGTTCGCTAATACATCGTGATAGATCAAGGCGGGCACAAAGATCGATCTGCCCATGTGGCTTGGTGTGATGCTGGCGGTATCAACGGGGTGAGTATATATATATATATATATATATATCTTGTCTCTTAGACACCTCTGACGCTGCTGACGACCTCACCTTCGTAGATCGCTGTGGTCGCCGACATCTTAAAAAATAAAACAGAACAAGTAGCACGTACGAACTATATGTAGGAATAATAAATAAAATACACAGAAACAGAAGAAAAAGGAGTAGAATAAGAAAGGGAGGATGAATAAAAAGAAA